TCATCAAAGTATATATATTTTGGGTTGTTTTCTAACGTCTGAGTAAAATCAATTTAAAAGACTATTTGTCCCCATCATATTTCTATGACTTATCTAAAATTCCCATTCTCATCAAAGTATATATATTTTGGGTTGTTTTCTAACGTCAGAGTAAAATCAATTTAAAAGACCATTTGTCCCCATCATATTTCTATGACTTATCTAAAATTCCCATTGTCATCAAAGTATATATATTTTGGGTTGTTTTCAATTTCAACTTACACATAGAAGCATGTGTATGGAATTTTATAAAATTATCTAGATATGTTTACAGTTGACAAATTCTGCAAGTTCAAATATATTGCAGCAAAAAATATCTATGCTCTACATTCAATAGTATATTCTAAAGAGAAAGAAAGAGTTCCAACAGCTTATTATAAAAGCTTTATTGTCTGTCTTCAAACATTGAGCTTGTTATACTTCCAACAGCTAAGGAGGTTGTAGAGTGATAGTTATTACCAGATGCAGTCAAGCTAGAGCTTGATGCTGTTCGCCGAAGTTCATCTTTGGTGTTTGGTGAGTGGTTACCAAGAAGTAGGGTGGTGGGGCTAGTTGCCTCCCCAGATATGGTGACTGGTGGCCCTTCCCGATGTTGGAGCAGAGAGTTGAGACTCGCAAGAGAAATATCCCAATCTTTGAAACCATTCAGGAGAAAAATAGCACAGATGATAGTAAAAAAACCAGCAAAAGTACCCAGGATATCTTGGGCACTCATTTTCCCCCACTCTCGAAACAAGATAGCCGAAGCAAGAATCACAAAGGAAGTAAAGAATACATAATAGATAGGAGTAACAACAGATGTGTTAAAGAGATCTAGAGCTTTATTCAGGTAATTCATCTGTACAGCTACACAAAAGATCACAGAGAAGACACAAATCCAGGTTACCCATTTTGTAAATTCATTTGTTCCTGCAAAAGTTTCACGAAGAGCAAGACCCAACCCCTTACAACCCATGACTGAAAGTGATCCAATTACAGAACAGATGATGATATGGACAATTACATTTGAACTGCCATACCTTGGGACACAGTAACAGATCATTGCAATACTAACTACCACCACAAATATTACATATATGATGAACCCTGAAATAAAAAACAAGTTTATTTGAAATTTTACTTTTCTCATATTCAATGAAAAACTAACAATAAAACACTACATAGAAAAATAACATTTAAAACAACACTACTTAAAATGTTGAATAAATAATCCTAAATTTTTTACACTTCTAATCTAATAAGAACTGAGTCAATTATATGTCTGTTACTTGAAGCCATCAATTATTAATTACATCGGTCAGAACTATTACAATGCTCATCAAGAAAATATACCAATCCAATTAGATTCGGTAGCAGTGAAATATATGATATAATTGCACGTTTAAATTATCTTTAGTTTACACACATATTAAAGAGGCAATTAAACTTCAAAATTCTAACCAAAACAAAATAAAATCTAACACTACTGAAAGGTACTTGTGTTCTAGAGCAGACTGGTAGTCGAGAATTACTGTTCTAGAGGTTTGTATGTTTTGAATTTCACGCAAACCTACTCTAGGAATATTGTTGTTGTTTGTTATTAAGCACAAAGCTACATAAAGGGCTATCTGTGCTCTGCCCACCACGGGTATCAAAACCCGATTTCTAACAGTACAAGTCCGTAGACATACCGCCGTGCCACTGGGGGCTACTTTAGGAATATCTGTAATCTGTTCTAGAGGACTGTGCATTAGATGTTTCTTCTCTAATTGAGAAAAATAAATTTTATATGGCAAGCGATAAATTTGTAGACAAAGCAACTGTTACATCCTCCTGTATAACCCCCCATACACACATGTCATAGTAAACCAACTCAATCTATAAGGCTTGTATTAGCTGGTAGAGAAAGAACAAATTATGAGAAATTTAAAAATAATAATATCATTACAGTTAGATATAAAATCCTAAATTGTATATCAGTTTACCTATGCTTTTGCAAAGTGCTATACTGGACCAACACATAAAATGATCAAAAATGTAACATTAAAACTGACTTAGCTATGCAACTGCAACCATATGCTTCCTTGCAATGCCAAAGTAAAATCAATGTGTAGTATGTTGAAAGTAAATCTGCACATTTAAAAAAAATAAGAGTGCTTAAATGTTTTTGCATGATGTTATTAGTAAATCAGTTTATATTTGTGTTTAATTACAAGTCTAATTATATGAAATTAAAGATACAAATCTGGTATGTGAAAAGCGATACAATAAAGCCAATATTTTCTACTGTAAGCATTTGATATGTGTTTCAACACAATGTTTCCAGTATAGTTACTGAAACTATTCAAAGAGCTATTGTGAATGTAAGAAATGATAAATAATTGAAGTACTGTAGAAATTTGAAGGACAGGTAAATACAGGTATAAAATAGAGAAGCTAACTAAATAATAATAACTCAAGCAATTTATGTAAATTTCAAAGTACATTCTTGCTGTCCCAAAAGCTTAACCTGTTTTAGTTGTCTCTGAATAACTTACATGGTTTAATTTCTAAGAGGTATAGATTAAATTTACAGTGAATATCAATTTGCAAAACTATCATTAAATTATTTTATTTAAAAATATGAAAATAAATTAGTAACAGCTTCATACTGCAGAGTAAAAGAATTCTGAAGAAACTAAGTACAGAGACTAATATTAATCCATTTAAACTTTTAAACTTAAACCTGGTGTCCCTGTCATTAACTTATTTGTGAATGCAACTAAACCTATTTTGTTTGGTTGTTGAGAAATGATCAGTTTATATAATTTCTTTGACTTCATTGTAATTAAACTAATATGTTATCCATACAAAATCATGAGAAACAATGATGCAAAGGATGTTGTAAGTTGTGTTTGCAGTCAATCCTAATAGTTCCACAAAACTTACTTAATCCCCGTATGGGAGGTAAAACTGCAAAATTCTCCAAATCCATTAGTAGAATATTGTTTTAAATTATCATTTACATGTTTGTGTCAACCAGTATGTAAATGCGTGCAGCCCATTAAAAAACTCTCAATCCTCCAATATGATAAGAAAGTTCAAGAATATATATGTAGAAACTTATTTTGTCCTTACATGTCCATGGATTTAGTTTTTAGAACCCTACCCAGTTCCGCTTACCATCATATGGAAGCTACAATTTCCAAAATCTCAATTTAGATTATTGTTTTGAATGATTTCAATTTTCAAGCAAGTCAGCTTAGTAAACCTGAAGACCTCCAAAATTTGCATTTTTGAGGCTCTACCATGATTCTTTCACAAAAATGATTTTATTCATTTAAATCTGTTGGAGTTTAAAAATTAAGTAAGTGTAAACGAAAGTAAGAATTACTAATTAGATGACTGCTCAAGAATTACACTACATTATGCTGTCATCCAAATTATGTCTGACTACTTCATCATAAAAATTGCAATCTACATACAAATACCTTGTTTCAATTATTCATAATTTACTTAAACTATTATCTCTGAGCAATTACCTGCATTTGATTTATCAAAATGCTTATGTTTGAGTAATATATCACAATACTGGTTTAAGTGTAATAGTTATATATAAACATCTATGGTTGATTGATTCGTAACGATCTGGCTAAACAAATAGCATCTCTATAAGAACAGCTATAGATGAGTTACTCATCATAGTACCAATGAAACTGTAACCTCTGTACGGATACCTATATTTAACAAGATAAATAAAAAATTGGGAATTTAAAAATCTGCAAATAGGGATCATAAAACAATTAAGGAAAAAAAAGGCTTGAGATACTGTAGACATTATTTACTCAAACTACAAACCCCTATTTTGGCTCCATGTTTTTACATAGAATTACATTTGGTGGAGTCAAAATAGGAATTTGTAGTTTGAGTAAGTAATGTCTACAGTATCTCCAGCCTTTTTTTCCTTACTTTTTTTATGATCCTTATTTGTAAGTTTTTAAATTCCCAATTTATTATTTATCTTTTCTGGCTTTTTTATGCTCAACTTTGGGCAAAGGATTACTTAGTTATTGACTATTTGATCTCATTAGTTCAAAATGTTAAATGTTAAGCTGGAGCTGGAGATTGTCATGAATATTTATTTGAGAATATAGTGAGCATTTATAGTTTCTGTATAACCAAATTCTCTATATATAATGCATAGCAATGGGCAAATATAGACATATACTACAACGACAACTACTAAGTGCTTATAAAATTTTACCAGTAGAAAATCAGCCTTTTCAAATAAAACATATTAATCTAAAAAGTCACTTCAAATAAACTTTTGCGTCTTTTAAAGTAATTATTCTTACAAATGTCTGTAACAAAATTTAATATTATGTGTATTGATTTTTTCTTTTTTACTTCTTCTCTTCATACATAATATAGGGGGTTGGCTCCCTAAAGCTACCAATTGTATAGTGTACAAAGAATAGAGTATCTACACGTTACAGTCATCTAATGTTCATCTAATATTGGCTGGTAATTCCTGTTTCACTCTGCACTTAAGCTTTTTAAAAGAACACCAGATATTTGTAAGAACACTAACTTCAACTGGTAATGATAACTACATTTACATTATAATTATGATGTTTTTAGCTTATATAAAATATAGAAGAAATAAGTCAACTTTTCAATACCCTTAAATCCTTTGCAGTACCTTATTTACTATTTTACAAAAGGTTTGGGTGCAATACACCAAGTCATTTTTGTTGTAGAGTGGTAAAAGAACAATAATAAGAATTACAAATGAGCTATTTTGAGTGAATTTTCTTTTCCTTATAAGTCTAACATGTGTGCTTTTCTGTACAATTTTATGTGTGTACAGCCTTAGCAATCAATAGTAAAGGTTTTAAAGTGTTGTTTAAATTGAATCTTTAATGTTTAAAGGTGCTTTTTTGCACAAATTTTCTATTTAGATTTTGTGCAATTCCTTGCAATCCCTATCATGAACCACTATTGTGGTTCATGATACTTCATCATAAAGCTGGTTGAAACAATAGTCTATGAGAATAGCAATATTTGACTAATTCATTAAAATGTCAATTAAACTGTTGTTTCTGCATGAGTAGCTGTGTTTAGTTAATTCAGTATAATTCCAGTTATAATATAAACTCTTTATAAATAGCTCTACTATAGATTTTTGGGTCAAAAATGTAATACTATATTTACCTGGCTGCAGCAACATATCTCCAAGTTGTTCTATAAATAGCTCTACTATAGATTTTTGGGTCAAAAATGTAATGCTATATTTACCTGGCTGCAGCAACATATCTCCAAGTTGTTCTATAAATAGCTCTACTATAGATTTTTGGGTCAAAAATGTAATGCTATATTTACCCGGCTGCAGCAACATATCTCCAAGTTCTTCTATACTGGACACACTACCTTCCTTGGGAGCATGCAAGATCACAACTGTGGACCCAAGGATACACAGTAAACAGCCAACTTTACCAAGGAGATTAAGTCTCTCTCCCAAAAGTCTTGAAGAAAGGACTGCACTATGAAAGAAAGCCAAAGCTACTGTTAAGAAGTATACTGATGCTCAACAACATTAAATTTCATTATCCCACAAAAAAAACTACTTACCAATATTTTGATAAACAAAACAGCAAACAAAGTGAATTTTTACTAATCTTTCCACTTTTGCTATGCACCTATACAGTCTTTCTCAATACATGTAGAAATCATTACATTTCTGTCACAGAGAATTACATACTTCAATATCACTAATTATTACTGAAATAAAAGTACGAAAACAATTTATACAGACACGTATGGATGAGTAAAAATTAAATCCATCCATGATTTTGTAAGGCTCTTTAACTCATGTAAGGCATTGGTGGCATCCCATTCAATAAGCTAATCAATCAACTCATTTGAAAAAAAAAACTGTTTCCACTCTGGAGTCCAGCCTTGTCTTTGTTCAAATCTTATTAAACTTGTGTCCTCTCATCCCATTATCTTTGGAATACAGCATAAATAAATCAGAGGCCTTTAACCTAGTGATAACCTGATTACATTTGTGAACTTCAACAGGATCACCCCTTACCCTTCTTTTCTCAAGAGAAAATAAGTTAGGAGATCTTCACCTATCCTCATAAGATAGCTTTTCCATCCCTACCATCATCCTAGTAGCCCTCTTCTCACTCTTTTCATTAAGTCAATATCCTTTCTTAAATAACTGTACACAACATTCCAAGTGAAGTCAACTAATGGTTTGCATAGAGATAATTACTTCTTTTGAATTATAATCGATTTCTGTAAACACGTCTTAAAATTACATTAGCCATTCTACTAGCATTAGAGCAGTATTTTGATGGTTTGAGTGATTTGCATACTACTTTGTAAATATTATTTTCATAATACTGAGCAGGTTCCCATATACATAAAAAATGTGTATTTTTTTTACTTAAATAATAGTATCTAATTAAGTTAAACTAGTTTTAAAATCTTTTAATTAGCTAAACATAGCACATATTTAACTAAATAGTCTTTCCAAATACTGGTATACAAGTTTTTGACAATAACCTATAAATTTCACAATATTGTTTTTCTAGAATTAAATAGTTTGCTACTTGAGATATACCAATTTTTAATTGTTAATTTGTTTTACAGTCCAATAGGCAAAGTAAAATACGAATTTGGCAGCCATAGCTCATAACCACTGGCATCTAGAAAAGCCAATGAACCCTCCTAACTGTTTTAGTTGTGAAAATTCTGCTGAGTGAAAAACATAATTTCACATACAATTACACTTGGAAATTTGTAATAAAATTTTTTACACAATTTAGTTAGTCTTTAAAACAAGCCTTATTCCTGATCTACCAAATTAATATTACCTGACCAAAACACTCAAGACACCAAGTGGAGTCACCAGAGTTGCTGGCGCAAAGGCATAAGCAGCGAAATTGGCACCTTCTCCAATTGCCACTGGAAAAATAAAATTGTGAAAATAAATGTAAATTATCATGATTTATAATAAAAAAAACTACAGCTACATAGTAACCTTTAAAAGCTGAGGAGTTTTTTAGAACAATGATACCCATGAGAAGGCTCTTGCAGCCTTCAATCCTTTTGAAATATATAATATAAATATATTAATGCATAACTTATTATCAATTATTATTTCTGAAAATGTGTGCAAACATCTACTTCACATGCACAATTGATACTCAAAGAAATACACATTTTGAAGAAAGAAAATTTGTATTTCAAAATTATAGACAAACATACCTGGGCAAAACATGCTAAAATGGTTAAAAAACAAATAACTAAAAGTCCAATTCATATACCCTGCAGCAAAAAATAAAAGAGTAACAAAAAGATAAGCAGGAGACGTCAGAAATCCTACTTTTAAGGGATAATGAATAAATGATATTTTGGATTTTTAACTTTAAGCTGTTAAAGTTTATGTGTAGATTATGTAATATGTTATTACATGAGCTACAGTATAAAACATGAAACTAAAAGCTATATAAATTCCTAACCGGCTGTATTTTCATAAATAAGGAGAATCTTTATCATCCATGTACTTACTTAATAACTTCTTAGTTTTAATTCCAGTTTATTTAAACACAACCCTTTCACTGCTGCATTTCAAGTTCAATATAACTGAAACTTTTTGTCACTCAGCACTATTAAGTGTTATTTAGTCTTCAAACATATTTAAAAAAAGACATTTCTCTGTATTTGTATTCAAACTCAAACTTCTCAAGTACAAATATGCTGTAGGTAGATGCACATTGACTTTTATCATGAAAAAACAAACTACACTTTTATTCAAGTATAATTTCTTTTTCATTTAGTTTCAAAGAAGTCTGATGAAAAAAAATTCTAGCTCAATAACAAGTTAAAGAATATATTAATTCAGAAGATAGAAAATTCTGGACAGGATATTTTGCCCAAGGCAACTAAAATCCACAGTAATGTTGGGAGTGTTTTGTCTTTGAACTATACTTGTTATTTAGTTCTAATATTAGTTGGCATTTTATTATCCAGAGAAAAATGTAAATATACTGTAATTATCACAATACTCATTCAGAATAAACATTAGTTCAGCATTGTATACATATGTGTGGATTGTTTTGTATTGTCACCTGGCAACAAGTGGTGTTTAGCTGTTCTATTTTAGCAGGGGTAAAATATTATTTTTACTAAAAACCTTTGGTCCCTGTTGAATGTTGACAACAATCTTACTTTCTAATACTCAATGCAAGATGTACTTTAAGCAAATAAGTCTGAATTCTGACCAATCACAAAATTAGGAGGAAAAACGAAGGGTCAGTATGACATCATTCATTGCTCAGCTGGAAATAAAGGCTGGAAAAGGCAACTAATGTGAACAAATGTTATCCAGTCATCCTTCAATATTTGTTAGGTGTCCCTTCCTGAGGATAAATTATGAAAAACCAAAGTGGTAGCAGTAATTTTTTTCACTCACAAACATGAAGAAAACATATAACATGAGAGTAAAAATTAGTATTTATGGACAAGTTTTCTCAGTAAAACATAGCAATTTATGCTCTCAGATAATTATCTTAAATTTTACCAGTTCATTTTAGATAATGAAAGTGAGTAACATGTAACTTGCCAATCACAAACCTATTTTAAAAACAGTTATATGAATAACAGATATTTTTATAGTCCCATTATGTGTTCCCCTTTCTTTTATCTGAGGCACTTGACACTCCAACTCATACACACAAAAATACATATTACAGCAAAAATAAAAAAATACAACATGCCACACTAGCACTAACTATTAAAATCAGACATGCGTGTAAGTATACAGTAATGTAAATGATATGTCAGGTACTGCTTACATATTAGTGAGAAGGATGTGACAATTTCTTCAAGCAGAGCAGTTTCATCTAGGCTAGATAAATGCTTTACAACACCAGATGGAAAAGGAGTTCAGTCACTAATATGCACACTAAAAAAGCACCAGTCAGATATACAGTGCTATCTAAAAGTTCTAACATGCCAGGAGGTGCCAGTAGTAAGTTGTGCTTTACTTTAAAAAGGCAGGTGAAGACATGTGTGATCATTTTTTTCTTTCGTGAACCTTTTCACATCCCCCTTGCTAATATTCTGCATCCCTAACCCCCATCCTGGAGGTAGAACCCCATAGTGAGAGAGCCACTGTGTTACATAAATGTGACATAGTTACATTTCAAAACAAGTTCTATAAAATTATCATTGTGATACCTAATCATCAAAATTTGTCCCTTAGAAATGACAGTGATTTAACAATTATTTTAAGTTAAACCAATATAAGGCCTTTGTTGAAACCTATATACCTTATGGATGAAATAAGTAGAAATTTTTTATGTTATTGTATTTTAGTATATTAAAATAAAAGTAACATGCCAAACTGGGCAATTATCAGGGCTAATAATTTTTTTGGGTTTTTGAAAGTTATTCACTCACTTGAAAGAAATCCAGCCCACCACAACCATTCTTTCAGATAACCATACCCCCCGAAACCTGAAAAAAATATGCATGTTTTTAAAAATTTTGTATTATATATTAAAACAGTGCAATATTAATACCTAATTAAAAATATCAGCATAAATGTCTGGAAAAAAATTAATAATAAAATATTTAATAATGTTCTAACATTTAAAATATAATCAAGTGTTCTCTACCACAATCCTACACACAATATGTGTATTATCAACACTGATATATATAAAAAAACGAGCTGGGCATTTAATGGGCTTTGCTAATGGATTACATTCATGTGATCAATTATTCTCACATGAGACTTGGATAATTTGAATAATTGAAAAAATAAATAATTAGAAACATTAATTTTGGTTAGTTGGCTATTCTAATAAGTCATACCACTAATCATTTAAGCTAAACATTCTTGGATTAAGAGAAAATAATAATGAGCAATTATAATGGCAATATTTTGATCATTCAGATAGTTGGAATAATTAAAAAATAATAATCAGGAACCATTATTTTGATTGATCGATTATTTTACTGACTTTAATCGATGTAATCAATGCTCAAATGTAATTGATTAATCTAGTTAATTACCGAACTCTATACATGCCAAACATTATACATGCTGGTGTTTATTAGATCAATCCTATGCACACTGCATGCTAGAAACATACGTGTTCATCATCCTTTATAATTAAACCCTATAAACAAATATATTTTCCACAGGATCCTAAATGAACAACACTACAAATATTACTATTCTGTACTAGAGCATGTCAGATACTACATGAACAGTTAAAGCAGTAATTATTGTGATACTTCAAATTCATAAACATATGTGTCAAGAGTGAAAATATATTTGTCACCTACGTATATCATCAGTAAAAGCACTGTAAATCTGAGTGAATTCAGACAAGAAGCACCAAGAAATTACAAAAGTTGTAATTTTTCATGCAATAAACAATTCTTGTAAGATTTTTGTGACTTGGATTTTTCTTTTCAGGTCTAGTCTTATGAATAATATGAAAATAGCAGCTTAGCAACACCCTTCTCTGTTTGATAAATTTTATAAAAGTAAAATAATTTTTCAATTTGAAATTGGACCCAAAATGGTTAATGCTTACTTCAATAACCTTCAGGACAATAGAACAGGACAACATACCTCCTGGCACTATGATGATTCATGAACAAACTAATGTCACAGATTCCCAGAACAAAAGAATGTGATTAATTATACTTGTCATAAGACATTAATATTATTTCTGTTATATTTTTAATATTACATTCTTTATCTACTTCATACCATAACACTTGTTGTTGTAACAAATGTCTCATAAATAATGTTATGACCACTACTACGTTTGTTTTATTGTATCACAGCCACCTGATGAGCTTTTGATTGAGTGAAAGGCATCGTCAGCAAAGGATATGGTGAACATATTGTGGTTGAAATACTATCACTATACACTTTTATAATTCTTGAACATCCCCAAGGGTGTAAATAAGAAATGTAATGTTAAAAATATAATAGGTCTAATATTAATGTTTTATGATGATTATGATTAATTATAATTATGCTTTGCCAGCTTGGAAAAAGGCATTCATACCATAACAATTATTGTTGTAACAAATGGCTTATATGTGATGTGTCCCAGCCAGCCCAATGAGCTTTGGACTGAGTGAAAAGCTTAATGAGCAATAGATCTGGCAAACATACTGTGGTTAAAATAATAATATTATATAATCTTTTAACTTTTTGAAAATCCTTAAGCTGAGAAGCAAGATTTCTCAGTTCAATGTGGACCCTCAGCAATGAAACTTCTAAAAGTGGACAGTTGTTTATCTGTTCAAATACTGACATCTTCAATCACTGATGGTTATCAATCACTTATAAAGATCTCTGAAAGGTAGGTTCTACATTTTTTTTAAGAAGGCACAAGGTATCCAATTTTGCCTCATAAAAACTGTTTCAATAACTCTTGCTAATTCCTTGTAAATCCACCCCACGACTTAATTCCACTGTAATTATCTCAAATTATAATATCCTGAAATGGATAAAACTTTAACATTTTTTGTTGGAACCCATAGAATATCTGTACAAGACATTGTAATAAATGGATGAAAAATAAAATTTATGGACAATAAAAAACATTCACAAATCTTCTGAATGCACCTCATTTTATGGTAATGATATCTAGTAATAAAATTCAAATGAACTTGTACTAAATGTCAAGATATAATAAGTTAATTTTTACCTATAAGAAAATACTTAATTAAATAATATCTTAAACTTACCTGCTCGAGTCTGTCCCATTCGACTAATTTTGATAAGTCCTTTCTTCTTTATAATAAAACTAGATCCAATAAATACACTAGAACTGATTGCCAGTGAAAGTCCAATGTAGAAGCCCTGTCTAACTTTAGAATCATTAAGATTAAACTGAGCTCCAACATCATCATTTGCCTCTCGAGTAACTCGAGAATGCTTTGTAAAGGAATCAGACTTAGTTTTATTGGCAATGGTCATCCACATTAAGCTTGTGAAGTTGTTCTCCATCAGTCTAAAAAATAAAAGTTTATGAAAGTTCTACATTTTAAATAGTGGAGTGTTTTGAATCATAGGATGAAGACAGAAAATATTTGATAATAAAGAAAGAGCAACAAGAAACTGTTTTAGTAATGGCAAAGATGGAAGGCTTATGACATAGGACTTCTCTTAAAGAAAATCTACTAAATGTACTTTTCATGGATCACTGACAAGTAGGTTTGGCTATATGACTGACATTAAAAAAAAAGTGCATGTCTCTGAAAGCTTACTTATGCTGTTTGTCACATAGTTGGTTGCTATACATATACCTTTAGCATATTTATCATCTAAAAGGATACAAGACTGCATAACAACCACTGTAAAAATTTCATATCTATGGCTTCATAACTGTTTTCCCATTGTAAAGATAACTCTTGACCCAACATGTACCAACAATGTAAATGTATACATAAAAAATATGGAAGTAAAAGATTTGTTTGGTTTGCCTTATCATAAACTGGCTGGAATGAAATGTTTCTGAGTTATTTTAGGTTTTGGGAACTTACCCATGATGGACATACAGGTATTTATTATGACAAAATATGTTCTTAATTTATTTTTCCTTATCCTGATGCTTAATATTCTACTGAATATGAAAAACAGACATGTTCCACATATTTTTCACTATCTTTTTTGCAGCTTTAAAACACACATTTTTTGTATATTAATATAGAAAGTACAGGGTTCTTGTTAACTTGGGACCTCAAATATTTTATGCACAAAATAATGCATGAAAACTAGGACTCACATGCATGAAAAATGTAAAAAATGCATTAATTTTAGTGTTCTAATACTGTTATATACTTTTAAACCGGTTGCTGGTATTAAACACATTTTGAGGCAGGTGTTAGGTACATGTGTACATTACAAATTGGCTTCACTAATGTAGACAATAGCAGAGCTCATGAATGTCAAGTGGTTTTCTGTCTGTGCAGCAGAGATCTCAGTCAACAAAACTATCAATTAAATGAGAGTGCTATGTGAATTGATTTGTATATTTGTGTTGAGAAGATGATCTGTTAATTAATTACATCAGATTAGTCCAGCCTTCATAACTACAGAGTTTACAATCAAAAGAAACATGACTAAAATTGTATTATCAAGCAGCTCGTTTGTAAGGCAGTTGATAATTAATCATGAGCTATTGCTTGTTGTACCCTTGAAGAAGAATTGTAACTGACAATCAGTCTGATTGTTAGACTAAAGGAGATCTACTTTAACCACTTACTCAATGCCTACAGAAATAAGCTCTCAGGGAAGTTACAATCAGGGTTAACTCTGATGATGCAGAACCAAAAATTGTAGATGAAGACACATTTAAGTACTCAATATTTGTTGTATACCAAGATACATATATACTCATTGGTGCTTATGACCTCTCTTTAGCCTCTACAACAGCATTTTAAATTCTATTACAAATGGGGAGGTGGATGTAATCCATCATGAGCTGGTGATCAGGCAGCACATATGTGAATCAGAGCAGTCAGTACAATCTACAAAAACAAGATGGTGAAATTATAGCAGACATTCTACTGCAAAATTAGCAATCTAATTATACTACTCAGACTTGCAATTGGTACTTAATATGAGCAATAAAACAAACAATAATTTGATTAGTTTATACTAGCACTGACTTTAAATCAACAAATGTACTCAAGGATGTTGGTTTGAAATTAAAGTTAATGATTTTATAGAGAAGTCAATGGTGGTAGTACAGAGTTAATTTCTTAGTAATTTCCCTAAAGTTATTCTTTTTGATGTGTGTAGTCAATGTAACTTTAGGTCTCCACATTATATATATATATATATATATAAACTAATAACTTAATTGAGTTAAAGAAAAGTAAGTTAACGCAAGGAAAACCTACCTGAAAGTAATTTATTTTTCCAAATTCATATAAGGAACTTATAGTTTACTTTGAGTTTTTGTAATGACAAAGCTAGGGGCATTAGGAAGATCAAAACAAAGAGTACATGCATGAGTACATGGTACAAGCTTAATCTAACAGGTTGTATTGTGTCTTTCTTGATGCAAAAGTGTATTAGATGTAAAAGTTATGCCAAATGAAACAACATTAAGCTGATGGTTAATGTACAACTACTGGCTAGATATATTATATGGACAGTTGTTAAACCTTGTCTAGTTTATTTAGTTTACAGAAATCCAGATATGTTAACTGATATGCTGATACCACTAGAATGTTACATGTACACAATGAAGGAGCTTAAAAAAAAAATATGGATAAGAAAGTAGGATCATGTGATTTATCATTTGGAAGATTTTGATAAACCAGTCCGATGCTTCTATATAAGAAAGTATTTTGAGTTATTTTTTATAAAATTACTTCTTCCTTCAAATAAGCAATCTGCTTTAGAGCACAATTGTAAAAGCTTTAAAAATACTTGAAGTATATATTGCCATTTCACTGCTTACGACAAGTTTATAGCCACTTTGATACATGTTTGCTGAAAGATAATGGGGTCAAATATTACAGAGTTATAAAATTATGTTATTCATAATGCATACAAATGAAAGGGGAAAATGACAGCAAGCTGTTTAGCCCACAAAGTATATGGTCAACACACACCAAATCACCTAAAATATTTAACAAATTAGTTATAATAATAAATGTTTCTACCTACAACTAAGAAAAAGCAAGGTGAAAGAAGGAAATTTAGCCAATAAAGGTTTCTAATTACACACACACACACACACACACACAAGCTAACACACATATTAAGCATAGACCTTTATAATATATCAATATAACTGTCCAAACCAATTTTGAAAATTAAAATTATAAGTAAATGTATTTGTCAATCTACAGCTGGGCAACTAACGAAATTAGTCACTGGGCTCGTTACTATATTACTGTACATTCAACTAATTGATTATTCTATGAAGATGGCTTAAATAACCAAAAAACAACTTATAATGGTACAACTTGGGTTTCAATACCTGTGGTGAGCAAACCAATAACAGTCCTTTATGAAACTTTGTGCTTACAAACAAACATAATGGCAATACTTCAATTACTTGAATAGATAGAACAGTCAAAAATAATAACAATTGGAAATCGTAATTTGATTATTTTTGTGAATTGTTACACTAAGTGATTAAAATGAACAAACTGAAATTAATTGAAAATAATAATAATAAAAATCATAAGGGCAATATGTTGACTATTGGATAGTTGAAATAATATGAAACAGCAATAATCGGAAACACTAATTATGATAAGTTGTTTATTTTCATAATCATTTTGGGCTTAATTTTGATTACTGAATAGCTGGAGTAATCTAAAACCATTGGAAATACTAGAATATCATTTTTGTGACATTAATCAATTTAATCATAATTTCAATTAATCACTTATTTTATGTGACACTAATCAATGCTCATATTTTTCTCACTTACCTAGATTAGGTGAATGATAAAACAGATAAACAAAATTCAAAGTTCAAAATCCAGGTTACTAATTATTTATTACAAGTACAGCTCCAAAGGCACATCCACATTATGGTACTGGTTAGCATCAGCTAAAGTAAAGGAAAATTGTTTTGAACAAACATATGCACACAATGGTGTCATCAAAAATTGAAAACCTTATGTCCCTGAACAACTGTTAACAGTTCTTCCAGTGATTCTCAGCAAGGTTTTTTAATGTTAATCTTACATGCAAGTCTTAATTTCAAAATTGTACATCACTTTTTGTGATTACTCCACATAATATACGATAATGACGAAAAAAGTTTCTTAAAAAACAAAGAAATAAATGAAGCAAGATACTGTAACATAACTATAGGACATTTACAAGTTTGATGGTAGTCCAGTAATTAGACCGTGATATACCATTGGAATCACAAGTTTTGGCATAACTATTGTGTAAGTAATATTCTTCTTAAGACAATTTTGATTTCAATGAAAATTTTTATTCAGTTGATATTTTGTGTTACTGATACAATAATAATCTGCCTAGGTAAGATTTACTAATAATAATGAAAAGCATATACCCATATATGGTTTCAATAATAACACAGTCTAATGGTCATCACAACTTCAAAACTTACAAGACAAGCTGAAACACAATATGATGAGACTCAAGTGCATTACATATTTCCAACTCCTAATTAATTTTTAATATTATGAAATGTTTAAGTTCAGTATTGTCATGGAGTTAGTATATGAATTAAAATCCTTTTCCACAGTCATAAACAACTTTTGTATTATGTTACAATAGAATGAAAGAGAACTTATAGATTTTCTTTCCTCATAAATGCAAGTGCTCATACTATTACTATATAGTGTTTAAGAATTTTCACGTTTGGTTTTTATCCCTATGGTTAACAAAGACGAATGACGTACTTTGTAATTCTAAACTTAGGCTTTACACCGTATAACAATAACATTGGGCAAGAACGTCGCTGCTCAGAAAATGTGCTGCTGTGAATATATTATTTAAATTAAAAATTATTTTAATTGGACTTGCACAGAATAGTCAAAAGTACGTTTCCTTTTCAATTAAAAGCCTTAATACTCAGTAGCTGTCACATTTCATAAAATTCAAATATAATATACTCACACTAAATCACAGTAGTTTAGATAAGTTTAACTGTTAGTGTTAGTTTTAACGCAATTTATAATATCGATATACAAGTCTTAACACTCTTGATCAGATGATGTTTGTTCTATTGACAACTCATAAGCTCGTGATCCTCGATTATTTTGAAGTAAAAAAGCAATACACATATTTCATAAAAACTGACTTTAAATCAAAAATATAACGCCAGACACGGAAAACCAATATTACTTTTCTTCGTATTTAAAGTTCTTGAGCGAACATAGACGGAACCAAAAAAAAAAATCAATACACGATATTTCAACAGATCCTGCCGTTACTAATATATTAACATGCCACAAGTGGTACACACGTATGTAGCGTCATCTATGGAGTTTTATAAGAATGTGTACTTTATAAATATTTTTTTTTGAAAACAGCAAATTGAATGATATTTTTCTTATCAGAAGATGTAAACATTTGAAAACACTATACTATGTTCCCTCAAATTATGGAGAATTTGTTATAGCTTTATAACATTTATTTATATCATTAATATTTATTGATAAATTTCAGGAACAGTTTGTGTTATGGACTATATATATATTGGGTTTGTTTGTTTTCAGATATTCGCGCAAAGCTACAAGAGGGCTATATGCGCTAGCTGTCTCTAATTTAGCAGTGTAATACTAGAGAGAAAGCAGCTAATCAACAAATAGTTACCGTCACATTTTAATGCCCCCACGGTTGAAAAGGCGAGCATGTTTGGTGGGACATGGACTTGAACCTGCGACCCGCAGATTACGAGTCGAGTACCCTAACCACCTGGCCATGCCGAGCCGCGCAGAGCTGTTCATAGACTTTATGCGCTAGCCGTCCCCAATTGCAAAGTGATAGGAGAGAGGGAATGCAGCTAGTCAACAGCAGCCTTCGCCAACTCCTGGGTTACTCTTGTCTGACCCAACAGTGGGATTTGATCGTCACCCGTATAACGCCCCCACGCCCTCAAAGTGCAGTCCCCAATTTTTTTGTGGTAACGGGACGCGAACATTGGACTACATTTCCATAGTCCGAAACGCTAACTACTGAGATGTGCTCTGTCCCTGCTGATAGGTCACAGATTAGTTTCTGGACCTACATCGCTAAAATCCAAGGTTCGATTCCTTGCGATAGACATATCGTAGATATCGCACTGTGTAGCTTTTCACTAAAAACAAGAAACAAACAAAAATGAGCTTTTTGTTCTCAACATATAATAAATTTATAAATATTTATAAGGCTTAACTGTTGCATTAAGAAAACAACAACATTCATTTAATAACATCAACAATTGCTATAACAGTCATTCAGAAGATGCATCAACAATTGCCGTGATTCTGGAATACAGTCGTTGCTCATAATGTTTTTTATTATTGCTGACATATCCACGACTCATTGAGTAGTAGATCTTCAGGTCCATAGATAGTTTACACTAGACCTCCTATTACTATTGCTACAGTTCACAAGAGTCATAGAAACATATAGCAAAATTCAGGATTGTAAATTTAAAGTCAACTCAATCTGCGATAAGTTAGAAGTTCAGCAAACAGTATAAGATTAAATATCGCTACCAATCAGGTTATTACTCAACCTTTTCTACGAAGAAGTATCATTACAGGATGTATCATACCTGCCATATTTCCCAGCATTAGCGGTGAATGTATTCACCACTGAACTGTAAAAATATATTTGTTCTCAGTCTAGCTAACGTCTAGAAATATAACTTCAAAAGCACTTTGAATATTTTAGCAAAACCTCTGAATGTGCTGGACTCTGGCAATGAGCTTATCAGTCAGCCAGTACAGCCATATTACATATTAAGTGAATTCTTCCACCATTAATTCGTTACCTAAAAGACAGAATAAAGGTTCCAAAGGGAATGGGGAAGGGGAATTGTAAGCCAATATCTTATACTGATGATAGAAATTAACTCAATTGCTTTACAAACAGTGACCAGTGCTTCTAATCTCGGAGGTTTCTTAACCTGTTTGTTTACAATACAACTTGTTTTCTGAAATAGATTAGATATAATCCAAATAAATTAGTAAAACCATGCCAGATTTTATATTCGTTTGGCTAACACAAAGATAATGCTATTGTAATACTACAGCTAAATCTTTTAATATATATAAAATCCAGTTGTCTTATGGTAACGCTCCATTCGTCTGTGTTGTTTAGTAAGAAAACTATGACCTGATATTGTTGTCGTAAGTATGGATATAATACTTTGAACATTCGCGTGATGTTTTTCAGTTTTATTATTACTTTTTTGATTACAACATATTTTCTTCTTTCTTTCACCTAAACGTATTGCCAATAGTCTTAACTAATGATGGTACTTGAAAATGATTATTGGGTTTGAACTTTGTCAAAGAATTTTTATAATAAATCTTAGGTTTATTGGTTTTGGGTGCTTCATCTTCTTTCGGTATTTAAAACGTTATTTTTAAGTTATATGACATAATTAGAAAAATACGTTCTGGTACATAGCGGAAGTCACATGACGCTTGGAGCATGCTCGCTGGAGTTTCTAGAAGGATCATGAATTTGCCCGGCAACTCTAGTCGGATCGAGACGCCCTCTTTTTAATATATAAGCCTGGCGAGAAAAACCAGCGTAAGTAAAGTATGTGAATCACTGTGATTTATAGCGTGTGCTATAAAGGTTGTTAAGTTTAAAGTGACTGGAAATTCTATGTGCTGCAAAAAGTTGTATCGAGAAAGAATAAACAGGTTTAATCAAAAAAGGACTTGTATTACTGAAGTTCCTCGGAAAGAATTTAAACCAGAAATTATCAAACCAGCAGATACCTAACAGCTAGTTCAAGTATAATAATTACATTGTTTATAAGTTACATTTGTAATAACAATTATATTGTTCATAAGTACCGTTTGTAATACAATTACATTGTTCATAAGAACCGTTTGTAATACAATTACATTGTTCATAAGTACCGTTTGTAATGTCCAGAAATAACTCATTTGCACAAATTAAACAAACTTCCAAATCAAACCTACTTGAAAACAATAAGTACAATGAACAAGGCAAGGCGTGGCCTAATGGTTAGCATGCTGCATTATGGTCCATGGTCCACGTCTCATTGCTGCTAAATTGCTATCCTCGCTTTGGGACGTGAGAATAGTATAATGATAATTTTGTTGACTAGTTGCCTTTTCCCTTACTTACTTATCAGCTAAAATTTAGGAATGGCTAGTATAGATGACTCTTGTGTAGCTTTACACGAATTTCCCTTCACTGCAGTAAATAAATAAATAATTATTTAGCTAATCCTTTATTATTTTTTCATAGATGTTTTCTTATAACTTATTTTGACTACTCCATTTTACTTTTACCAAATTTTCAGTATATTTGTTTGTGTGTACATATATATATATATATATATTTATATGTACGTAAGCATATGTATATATGTAATTCTCTCATATTGTTTCAAGCGTTAGTAAACATTGTTAGACTCGTTTATTTGCTGTATTGTCACGCGACCTTCGATTTAAAACTTTTTCCTTTACGGTTTTACTGTTCAGTTAGAGATACCCGATGAAGGACATTGCCCGAAACGTTGTATCTACAATAATATATATTTTAATATATATATATATTGTTACGACAGCGGAAGTCACGTAACACTGATAACACGTCATGAGATTTTCGAAGGATCATGCTCTTGTCTGTTCCAGGCGCCCTCTTTTTTAGTATATAAGCCCGGCAAATAAAGCATAATTGCATAGATAGAGAGATTGAAAATAGAGATAATCCGAGTC